CAGTGTTAAACTGGGGGGCAAAACCGTCCAACTGTGCCATACAAGTTCATTTAGATAATATTTGAATTCAAGCACGGCCATTGTATAAAAAATAAACACAATTTACACCATAAATTGTCCTCTAATGTTGAATTTGCTAATGAAAGATTATTTGTCCGTCTTGCAAGTCCTTTATTTATGCGGCTAAAGGACCACGTAGTGTATGTGTAATTCATAAATACTTTTTTACGAATTAATTTTGCATAAAATTTTTATTATTAAAGCAAATTACAGTATTTTAATATTTTTTTCTCATCAAATGATGGTTGCTTCGGTAGTTACAATGCATGGAGGGAATCATTTTGTCAAGATGCATTTAGATTAATTCTAGTTAAAAATAGCTAGTGGTAATTATTTTAGCAATTTGTGTTTAGGTAATAAAATAATAAGCGACTTTTATAAGTATAAAGTTTTTTAAAATTTTTTTTTTATTTTTAGTACAAGTACAAGATTTCAAATCCAAGATCTCTCGCTTACATCATTTCTTCCTGTATCACTCAATTCATCGTTCCCCACAGATTCCCTCCTTCCTCTTTATATATAGTATAGATATCTTTTGGACAATCATAGTAGTGCTTTTTACTTTGTCCATTGCCCTCTGTGACAGCCAAATATGTGATAAATTGAACCATGGACAAGTAAGCAACTAGAGGCATCACTACTTGCTTCCAAATAAAAACTTTAAGCCAACATAATCTGTTTCTTAGTACATAAACCGAAGATTAGGTGCTTGTTATCCAATTAAAACCTAAATGGCATCAAACTAATGTGTACAAGATTTACCTAACTCTTTCTTTACATCCACTTTGTTCATTGCATAGAGTCTACCCAAAAGCACCGACACTATACATTTAGGCAGGAAATGTATTGTCAATCACAAAGGTATGGACAATCATTTTCAATTTCATGCTTTAGTGGATAGTTTTTTTTTTTTTTTTTTTTTTTGAAAAGATGCATGATGGATAGTTAGAAGATGGAATGCTTGGAATATGACGAAATTGTAATGGTTACTACTAAACAAAGAAAAATACTCATCGTGATCATTACGACGTATGCCAAACTTATTCAAGAATATGATAAGGCACCACCTAGAGAAGCAATTGTACAAAGTAGTGAGTGATATATGTCATGTCTCGTCCCGTAACAATTGTTTGGTTCTCATTATTGTCATTGTATATCTTTTTCCTTCCTGTTTCTTGAAAAGAACGGAATGCAGCCAATGAAAGATAGACTCCTACAAGCACATCATCACAAGACTTAAACAAATTGACAAAGGAAGATGCCTCTTACAGTTTGTAGAGGGAGGAAAGAAAATGAAAAAGAATACATCGTCCCGTGAGTTGCCAATTGGAATGAAAACTAAACGCTGTGTTTGGATGGGATATTACTTGAAATATTCTTTGAAATAATTATTATAGATCTTTTAGTAATGTGATATGTATAAGATAAAAAAATAATTAAGAATATAAAAATGTGAATTGGAAGACGTGTTTATGATATAAGCAAATAATATTTGAAACAATTGTGTATCCAAACTGCAGCATTTACTGCTCTAATTTAGTCTAACATTCTATCCAGTGATTGTCCACGTCGAGGGTTGTTTGGTAAGCACGCATGAGACGTAAGATTGAGTATCGAAATAAATGTCACACGTACCTATTGTTTGGTAAATAAGTATCAAAATTACATAATGGAAATAAGAATGCTAAATTTTGTCCTTATCATTTCATATTTTTAATATGATTTTAAATTGAATGAAGGGTCTGTGTAACGAGTGCTTATCAAAGGCTCGTTAAGATTCAATTCAAGTGTTAATTTTTGGAAAAAATAAAGTTAATTGGGAAAAGCGTACACATGCAATAGGAAGTATCAATTGTTGATGTGTGCATTTAGTAATAAATTGAATGTGGTCTATTAACGAGCGCCTATTTGGAACCTGTTATAAAAACTCTGGATGAAATTTACTCCCAAGCCAAGTGCGTTAGAATGAATGATCAAAGATTCTGAGTACTAACCAAACACCTCTGAGATTTTTATTTATTTATTTATTTTTGACTGTTTCCACCGAATTAACCGTTGGGAATCTTGTGACTTGGACCATACCCGGAGACGGCAGACAAAAACCGCCCAACCCAGTCCACACACCTAAATCCGCAGCCCGTTCTCCGTTTCCAACAGATGTCTGACCCACGTTGGACTCGTCAGCACTATCAATCCTCTTAGCAGGTGGGCCCCCTTCTCCAAGCCCAAAGTAATCAAAGACCTGTCCAGGCTCCAGTCCCGTCACGTATACACGAATTGCCTTCCTCTCAATTATCTGCCCCCCCCCCCCAAAAAAAAGAAAACTAATTTCCACATCAGCATAATAAGCGTGCGTCTCCATTTTATTGCCGACGACTACGTCTCTGGACCCTACTCCCCGACGGACTTGACCCCACACGTTAACCTGCGCATTCCATAAAAAATTTATAAAATTAGAAAAATCAGAATTAAGCAGTTGATTACGGAGAAAAGCAGTTGTTGTCAATCAATTTAAGCCGTTTGATTCCCAAAGGGATGGATTAGTCCACCGTCGGTGACCTACGTTTGCCCTCGCGGCGGTGAAATACATACTACTCCTTCGTCCCGTTTTATTAGTCTTGGTTTTTTTTTCACACAAATTAAGAAAGTGTAATTAATTTGGTTGGAAACATAAATTTAGATTAATAATTTCCTAAAATACCCTTATGCTAATCACGAAGAGTGCCAATTAATATCAGTTGCAACTAATGGTGCCAATAAATATCAGTTACCGCCAATAGTGCACCATGATTGTTTCAATTACCGCCAATAGTGCCAATAAATAACAAAGATAGACTTTTCATTTATCTATGTATTGGAAAAGCTCAATATATTCAATGTAGTGGGTTAGTATTTAATAACAATGTATTAATAACGAGATATTTAATAAGGGTATTTTAGACAATTTGAAAGATTATTACATTTCTTAATGGGAAAGTGGACTACAATTTGTGACAGATGAAAAAGGAAAACAAGACTAACAAAACGGGACGGAGGGAGTACTATTAGTCCACGTAAAATTCACCCCTCAACCATGCTAAATAAAATGGAAGAGAATATAGCACTTTCTTTTGGTTTTTTTTTCCTAATTGATGTGCCTATACATCATGAATATCCTCAAAAAACATGAGTGTAGAGTAGAACTTGATGAATGTAGAGGGAAAGGAAAGAAGGGAAAATAAAAATTGATGACATAGAACTTGAACTCTAATGACATATATCCAGTCTATCTCAATATTTAGATTATTACAAAAAATATTTGAAATTATGATTATTGTTTCATTTTGGGAAGAAAATAATTTGAGCCATTATTTGCGCAACGGATCTTCTGTCTCACATCCTGTGTCATTCTCTGTTACATTTTTTATTATATTACTATTTCTCCTTCATAAACATCATGTTTTAATTATTTTTTGTTTCCTTAAGATCCAATAACTACAAAATCAGTAAAAAAAATAAATACAACAGCTTGAAAAAAAATATATATAATAGAAAATTAAAAAATGCAGCAGAAATTTCATAAAAAATCTCATTTTTTATGCATTTTGATTTTTTGAGTTTGTTAAATTTTGTGTATTACTAAATTAATAGGTATTGGATCTTAAGGAAATAAAAAAGAACTAAAACATGATATTTATGAATGAGAAATAGTAATATAATAAAAAGTGGGACAGATAATGGCACAGAATATGGGACAGAAGATCCGTTGCTGAACCTCTGAAGTCCAAATGTTAACTCTAGGCATGAACAATTGGAATTTGAACATTGTATGTCAATACGATTTGGCCACCAGAGATATGCTTAAAGCTCACCTTGCTGGCATTCTTATCGAAACTTTCCTTAAATATAGGTTGCGAGATCAAATTCCTCCGTCGCTTTTCTTGGATGTCTCTGTACTTGCATTTTTACCAAGACTTTCTTAAAAATTTAACCAATAGATTCACAGAAACCCGGATAATCAGTGACATCGAGATCCACCCGTTTTCCTTAGTATAGAGTACACTAACTCCTCATTTGTACCAAAAAAAAAGGTTACTGGTTCATTTATGTATCCTCATTTGTAACCAAAAAAAGTTTTACTAATTCATTTGTATCTTAAAAAAGAAAAGATATGAAATATCAGATATCTCCTTTGATTGTGAGAGTCATAGAAATGTAGAAGAATTTGAATTGATAGCTTGCAAGTTTTATATCTTAGAAGAGTGGGTAAATATTTATGTTAAAGGCTGTTTTTTTTTTATGCCATTAGTTTAGAGCACGTAAAATCATAGGGGCGGGTCACTATAAATTTTAAATATTATTATTTACCTTCTAAATTGAGAAGATTCTAGTAAATAACTATGAAGTAATCTTCTATACATACACTGACAGTATACACGCTTTCATCATTAGATACATGACACATGATTCGAATATAAATTTAAAACTCAAATTTTACATATGTGTCGTATATCTAATTATGATAGTGCATACACAGCCAGTGCATATAAGATTTAATCAATAACTAAATAGTGAGATAATTTCTTAGTATGTGCCTTAACGTCACACAATAAAAAAGAACCCTTTTATAACATAATATAGGAACGGTGCATGCCAAAAATCTGGGAATAATGTAGAATTACCAGCAGAGAATTGTTTTAGCAACAGTTAAAAAATCACATATTTTCCAAATGGAGCATCAAAACTCAAAAGCATGATCCAAGCGCAGAAAACATAATGGGATACGCCCAAGTGCCTAATGACAGGACCCCTAAGGTCAATGTCCAAGTATAATGGCCATGGGTAGACATCACTAAGGTCTAAATTTTGGGTAACAAAAAAATTCTTTTTTTTTTTTTGCTTCATTTAAAGGGAAAAAAACAAATGGATTTCTTATAGTAATTGCGAGGTGAGGCTGGTATTTAAGGCCAACAACACAGACATGCTGAGCAGTCGCGTTGGTTCATGGTTTCCTACCGGCTTTTCCTCCTCCTCCTCCTCCTCCTCGCGTCTCTTCGTTCGTTGATTCGTCTGCATTCTCCTCTTCCCTCTCCTTTACCTTCTACCTTGAAATCTTCCCTCTATTCTCTTTGTATTTAATGGAATATCATATGTGATCGAAATATAAAGTGTATTGTAGAGGGGAAGTAAAAGGATTCGTAAAGCTAACAATTACTTTTCTAGTAAATTTCTTTTTCATCTTCCTTCATTCCTTAAAATCTCAAAAAGATCACACCAATCCTATACATATCCATTCACCTTTCGCTATTGCAAGTAAGGTGGGTGCTACAGGCATGCCATATATGCATACACACATGTTCTATATCTCTATATAAGGCTTTTCATTGGGAGGATGGGTTTTATTTTATCGTTGTAATTCTAAGCTTAGAATGTAATAAATTTGAGAGGTTGAGAAAAATATCGAGGGACTTCTTCTTCTGCTGTGGGGTTGATTGTTAAATTAAAATTTCTTTTTTTTTGTTTAGCTCCTGGGAAGAGGAAATGGCTTTTAATCTTCGGTCTGAAACGCAAGAGCCCAGCATCGATACCGATAAGCTCAGCTATGAAATCTTTTCCATCCTGGAGAGCAAGTTTTTGTTTGGCTACGATGATCAGAAGCTTTGGATTCCTAAACAGATTTCTCCCGCCGCCGCCGCCACCGTCGTTGAAGAGAATAATAAAAACGAGGTCGTTTCGACGTCGCCCCGAGGAGAAATGGTCGACGGAAACGGCGTTCAGGCGATAAAGAATCAGAGGGGGAAGATATGCATCCTCAGCATCGACGGTGGTGGAATGCGGGGCATCGTAGCTGGAAAAGCCTTGGCTTATTTGGAAAATGCGTTGAAGCTAAAATCGGGCAATCCTGACGCTAGAATCGCTGATTATTTCGACGTCGCCACGGGCTCCGGCGTCGGAGGTATCTTTACCGCCATGCTCTTTGCCACCAAGGAGCGAGGACGCCCGATTTTCCACGCGGATGATACGTGGAAATTCTTGGCCGAGCAGGGTAAGAAATTCTACCGCTCCTCGAGTTCGAGCTCCAGCGGAGGCGGCAGCTTTCTCAGGCGTGCTTTCCGAGGCGGAGGAGGCGGCAGCGCCACGGCCGCTTCATCAGCGGCCTTGGAGAAGTCGATGATAGAGGCGTTTGCGGACAAAACGGGGCGGAGCTTAACGTTGAAGGATACGTTAAAACCCGTACTGATTCCCTGCTACGATTTGTCCAGCACGGCGCCGTTCGTGTTCTCACGAGCCGACGCGCTGGAGACAGACAGCTTCGACTTCCGGCTCTGGGAGGTCTGCCGAGCGACGTCGGCGGAACCGGCGGCGTTCGAACCGGTATGCCTGAAGTCCGTAGACGGACAGAGTCGTTGCGTGGGGGTGGACGGGGGATTGGCCATGACCAATCCAACGGCGGCGGCTATAACCCACGTGCTTCACAACAAACAAGAGTTCCCGTTCGTGCGGGGGGTGGAGGACATTTTGGTACTTTCACTAGGTACCGGCCAGCTCCTGGAAGGCAGCTTCGGGTACGAGCAAGTGAAGAGCTGGAAGGCCAAGGACTGGGCTCGTCCTCTGGCTCGCATATCCGGAGACGGCTCGGCTGACTTAGTCGACCACGCCGTCGCCATGGCTTTCGGCCAGAGTCGCAGCAGTAATTACGTCCGTATCCAGGTAATCCTCCAAGTAGCGCCTCTTTCTACCGTGCACCGGGGGTTGTTTTGTTTGTTGCATCATCTTTTGAATTTTATATGCATGGGTCAAATTTATGTTCCGGGTCTTTTCCGTTTAAAGTCGTACGGGCCCCCGCCTTCAGTTACTATTCAAATTCTGTTTTTCTTTCTTTCTTTTTTTTTTTTAAAAAAAGAATTGTATTCTACATATTCTTTTTTTTTTTTTTTCTTTTTGGGTTTTTCTTTTTTTTTTTTTTTTTTTTAAGGAGAAAGAAAGTGGGGTTGGCGTTGGGGTTGGGGTTGGGGATGCAATTAAATTTTTCTGGGGAGAGGTCAGTGGAGGGAAAGGGGGGCCGGGCAGTGACTGCGAGTGACTCAACTGGGAGTAATTTGTTGTAAGCTGGGCTGGCAAAAAAATGTGTTGGCAACAAAACGTGGCAGCTTTGGGTAGTGGGACAATGAATATTGAATATTGAATATGATATGATGACGTTCAAACATTGGTTGGGGAGAGTGAGACAGTAGTGTAGTATGGGACTCAGTTTCTTTTTTTTTTTTTTGGGTTTTTCTTGTTCCCTGTTTCCACATACTCTATGTGACATTTTTCGTGGTTATTTAGTGATACTTTGGATTTTGCAAAATATGTTGGCTGCTGCTTGATTGTGGTTTGGTGCTTCGGAAGACAGTTCTTGTTTTTTTTTTTTTTATAGGCTCTCCCTGGAAGCATAACTAGATGCCGGTTTGTTTTTGGGTGCATTAAGTTTCAGTAGCATGTTTCATTCGTTGACCCATTGTCTAGCCGGATAGTGTTTTGATGTGTAGTTACTTTACTTGCTCTCCTCAAATGGTCAAATTCCCAGGCCTCCTTAAAAAAGAGTTTCCATCGTCGTACTTGTCTGTTTAATCCATCCGTGTTTTTGGGCTTTTGACTCGGTCCTCCTATTTGATTGAGCTCAAAAAGCAGTTAAAGCTGGAAATGAATCCTGGAAAGGTTGATTTCAGTTTCAGGGTAGTGGGTAAAGCATGTTGTTGCTAATGTTCTATTCAAAGACATCATGATTCATGTAGTCTACAACTTTTTCACCTGCAGCAAGAAGCCCGACTGACTGACTGACTGGTGGAGGTGGTAGACTGGTAGTGGATGAAAATTTTGATTGCTAACCAAACCGAAAGTTGGTAAAGCCTATACTAATTGTAGAGAATTTGACTTTGTGTAAAAATATGAAGAAGACTGGTTTGTTTCACTCGTTTGTAACTTTCCATAATTGGGCTACATGTACCCGTCTGCAATTACCATGGCCGGTGCTGGAAATGGTCCCAGGCTGTGTGGTCTAGGAGGATTTTACCCTGCTTACTATGTTTCATTCACCTAATTCATCTGGAAGATTAAAAATTTTATACCAGTACAAATTTTCACTAGTAGGGTTGATTGCTCTGTTTAGACATATCTGGTCCTACCTCTGACGGTACGCAGAATAGTCATATGACTCGCTCCACCATACAGGGCTCAGGCCCTGAGTCCCTCTTGCCCTCTTCTTTGATTCTTTACTAGGAAGCCTCTTACCTCATTTTATACTACTAGTAATTTCTAGACCACCTCAGCAAGGACTATACAAACTCCATCCGTTTGCTCCGTGAGCTGGGATTGGGATGGATTAAGATGAAACAATAACTACTACTAGTACTATTTCTTGGTACCATGTTATGAGTTTTTTGTTCATCAAGGATATTTTCAAAGATTGGTCGTCCATGATTGCGGGGGAAAAAAAAAACAATTCTTGGTCAAGGGATGAAGAAAACCATCCTGTTTACTATCTCTCTGTTTTTTTGATTATCAGTCGTGCTAGTGCGTGTCAATGCATTCTTAATAAATTGTCAAATTTTTTGAATGGCACAGGCAACCGGATCCAGCTTTGGGCGATGTGGGGCGAATACAGACTCCGACCCGAGTCCCGACAACGTAAAATTGCTGGTGAAAGTAGCAGATGAAATGCTGAAGCAAAAGAATGTAGAGTCGGTGCTCTTCAATGGCAAGAGGATTGGAGAGCAGAGCAATTTGGAGAAACTGGACTGGTTCGCCAGTGAACTTGTGCTAGAGCATCAGAGGAGGAGCTGCAGAATAGCTCCCACTGTTGCTTTCAAACAAGCTACATTAGCAGACCAGGATGGCCCCAAACAGTAGATAAAAAGTACTACTTAACTGGTGAGAACTCTCTTTCATTACTACACATTGCCCTTCAGCAGCTTATACTACTGCTACCCACTAGTAGAAGAATACTTGTCAAATTACTACACATTATCTTTATCGCTGTGATTGACTTGACTGAATATGCCTAATCATTTCTAGAATAGGACAGGACCCATTGTGCTCATAATTGGAACATGATGCTAAGGAAAAAAAAAAAAAGGGAACCCAAAATGTCTTTTTACCCTTTCTTTGCTCGAATCAGCAAAGTTAAGTAGTATAATTATTTAGAGGGGTCACGAGAGGATAGTCGTTTCGGCTGTTTCTGTGCTCCCCGTGGGCTCGGTCGCGTCATTGTCTTTCTGATTCCGAAAATCAAAGGTTATAACAACCGGTGGTTGTTCAATGTTGATTGCCACCCCCACCCCCACCCCCACCCCGTCTTTTTCTGATTTTTGGCAGCAAATCTTGGGGATGAAAATTAGCGGAATGATCTTTGGGGAAGGGAGGTCGTTCACCAGAGCGCACAGCTGGGCGACTGTGAGCTGTGTCGGCCTACCGACAGTTTTAAAGAAGAGGAGAATGAGGGCATACCTGTTATTATGAATTTACCTGAGTAAGAACTAGGAATAGTCGTCGAACCTGAACCTGAACCTGGTAGGTGTGGGTGCTGGGGTCTGTGCTGTGGGGGGGGGGGGGGTCCCTGAGACTAAGGAGAGAACAAGAATCGTACCAGGGGCAGGGGATATGGGTTAAGCCTTTATTAGGGACACGTCCGTGATACGGAATGAATGACTGATGTAGGGACTCTTCTTCGTCTCCTCGCCTTTTACACCAGATTCCATGTCCAACAATTTTTGATGATTTGTTGCCCTCCTGAATCTACTCCCCACATTCAACGAATTCAATCCCTATCGTTAAAATACGGCTATTCCTCTCCTCTCGGTAAACCCAAATTCTTCATTTTTCCTTTTAGTATCATTTCCTAACCTTGCTGGCGATTTTATTGGCTAGTCAAGCACATTTATTATTTATTTTATTATTTTTTGGAAAATTCGTGTAATGATATTTTATACCAAGAGGGGCATAGTCAGCGTTCAGTGGTGGTTGATAAGTTCTTCTTTTTTGTATAGTCTATTGTTGCATTTGGCTTTTTCGTGAGCCTGATGTTGGCATTTCAACATACTGTGCCCTTTTATCTTCTAAGTACTTTTCACATTTAGTAAGACAAGAAAATGAGATCAACATTAAATTGACAGGGGGCTTGAAGCCAAATCTATTCAAAATCTGGTCTGCCGTATTTTCCTATATATTCAACTTTGTTGATATTTTGTTTCTAATCAACTACAGCTCTCTCTCGCTCTCTTCACATCAGTGCACAATTTCTTGATGCCGGACAAGATCCGTTCCAAGGCTAATGCTCAGACCTAAGTACACAAATACTAGAGAGTATCAACTCTTGTCATCAGGAATATTCTTGACATGAAAACCGTTATTTTGTTTTCATTTTTGGTGTACAGACTGATGGGGCTGCCCTCCATTAACTTGGTTCGTCTAAGAAATGGCACCATCAGCAGCCATATCAGCGATCAATACCAAATGATTAGGGAAGGATGGGACCATAAAGACTGTTTTGCTAAGGGTTCCCCCTCCCCCCCAACCTGACCTTTTACCTAAATTTAACTTGGCGAATTAAACAGTGTTACTTTTTGGGACAGCATGAGAAGAAATGCTAGGATCTAACTTTATTGTGCCGCTCCTTTCTGCATAATTTGATTTAGCCCTTGAATGTGATAACGTTTCCCAATCCATAATTGGTAGTTTTGGAGGAGAAAAATATTTTACTTTACTTTAGCACTTTCTCAAACTGAGTGTAGGCTAGATAAAGGTGATTCAGAATCAATAAAAGAATATTACAATTTTTGACAAAATTGGTCAGAATGGGCATAAAATGGCAAAACGAAAGATTTGCTTCTTTTAAAAACCCACAATTTAGGATCACTGCTAGACGCCTGATTTTGAATGATTGGCACCCCTCAGCGGCTAAAAGCTTAGGACCCAAATGGAGAGTTGCTATGAGTGGCCAACGTACTTTGATTTTAAATGCTACTTACTACTAAAGAATATAGAGGGGTCAAAAAGGATGGTCTCCTATAAAAAAAGAAGAGAAAGTAGACAGACCATCATGCTGCCGTTCGACATCATTTTGAATTTGTATCTAAAGGATGGAAGAGTTTTCACCTTAAATTTGGCAATTCTGCAAGTTTCATTAGCAGTACTGTTTAACAAAGTGTTGTGTAATTGTAATTGCAGTATGTAAACGTGTGTGAAGTCGGGAAAGGAACGGAAGAAGGAAGGCAGTGAAAGCAGGTTTCACTTTTGAAAGAGAAGACAGAAAGGCAAGGTGGGGGGTCAAAAGGATTTGAGAACTCTCGAGTATCAACTACTACTAGTAATAAGTAGTGGATGATCTTGGTGGGATTCTTTTGCCTGCCCAAGGACAGGCATTTGATGGCAATTGGACAAACTCCAAAATGCTTATTTGCTTAGGGTCAAAGAAGATTGAAATACTCTTGTATTACACTTTATGTTTTGTGTCCTTGTAGTTCAAGTGAGGTTTTGCGGGGGCCAGGAAACTTGTTTTCCTGGGATTTCTTTTCACTTTCCCCTCTTTCTTTTCCTTTTCCTTTTCCTTTTTATCTTTTCGTTTCTGGTTTTCTCTCTGTTTTGGGGTTTACAAATATTTTGTCTTCTCGTCCTAGTGCTGGTGGTGGACACTGGTGCCAAAGGAGCAACATACATATACACTCCTGCATGGGACTTGCTGCCAAAGTTCTGTGTCTAATCTTTGGCCCTTTTTTCCATTTGATCTGAATCTTTAATCTACTGTAAATTTAGTGGTGGAGAACTGATTGGCAGTGGGTATCAATCTCCTTCTCCTTCATTACAAGTTTACAACCAACCATTTGCATATATATATATATATATATATATATGCACGTACAGAGTAGTAGTAGTAGTAGTTGCATTTATAAATGGAGTGGGGTTCTGGACCCTCTTTGTTGAAGGTTCAAATTGTTGAAGATGTTGGATTCGTTTTATAAGCTCCTTCTCCCAAACTGGCACCTTAGAGTTCTTTTACGGTTTAGTATTTTTGGCAAAAGGAAGTTTTTGTTCTTTTTTAGCCTCATGATATTATCCATGGTTTATGTTATAAATAAAAATCAGGGTGGTTGGCTTGGCTGTCTACACCCCTTTTTCTGGTTTTCATTTTATTCTTCAGTTAATTATTTTCCCTTCCCTACTTTTGTGCTACAACTATAATATTTTAGCTGGATCATGAGATGATTTATTTTTTCACCAAGTTAACTAGTTTTTCTTAAACTGTTAAAAAAAAATCAAAACTATCAAAGTGGGACGAAGAAAGTATACGAGTAAACTAAAAGATTTGTAAGTACGTGTGTGAAGTACTCGTACCACATCGTTGGAGTTGATAATTTTAGCATAATGTAGTAGTGTCTAATGCATGACACACCACAACTATGTGATACAAAACATAGATAGATGAGCGCATTCGAACATCTTTAAAAGAAGTATTAGCCATTAAGATTACCAATTCGCAGACCTATCTTTTTCAGACCATCACTAACTGTCCATATCAGATGATTCCTATCAGTTGTGATGGCGGGCATTAACGTTTGGTTTTACTAGTTGTTTGAAGCCCGCCCTTTAAATAATTGAGAAGAGAATATACACATGGAAACAAAGGCTACATAGAATCAAACTGGATAATACAATTCAAATGACAATTGGATTGCTATTATTATTAGTTCTTGAACAATTTGGTCACCATCCCAAGTTGGGATTGCTACTTTTCTTTCATGTAATGACAATTAGTTGAAAACACACACACACACACACACACACACACACACACAAAGCACACCATGCATTCAAATGTCATGTCATTTAAATTGTGTAATCTTGATTTGTAGGGATGTCAAGCCCAACTTTATGAGGAATCTACTTTAGCCTTCCCCCTTTCAACTATTAAGAGCCATAACCTTTCCATGATTATGAAGTTTGTAGGCCTCTGATTGCCTATCAAAGAAACAGTGCTGTCCCTCATAATTTTAGTGAAATTTTGAATGTATGGTGGGTGGAACAAAAGGGTCTAATACAAAACTACTTTTGAAAACAACTAGTAGCATTTTCATAATGATGATGATTATGACTTGTGGGCTCAAAAGTTTCTCATCCGTGCACTCAATCATGCTTAGAAGTGGTTGGTACTCCAATTAACAACGAAAAAAGCATTTCAAAATTTGGAATTAAGGAAGGGACATGAAGGAAAAATGAAAGAACATATAAACTAATGGGAAAGGATTCATGGTATGTGTCATTGAGTACTGATGTTGCATGCGGTTATCCTAATTGATCATAACTGTAGTGCCACTAATTAATGATCGCGGAGCTGTGTGGAGTTAGATATTAATCAGATTGGTTGGTTAAATTCTTTAAATGGAGGTTAATTTTTCTTACTCTTTTTTCTTTCCAATCCCTCCCTCTCCTATCCTATAAATAATGGAATTCTCTTTCTTACTACCATAGATTTTTGTTTGACAATCCGTATGACAGAGACAAGGGTTTTAAGGGGATTATATATATCCTATAGCACACATTTCCTCGTAACATGTACTAAAAGATATATAGGTGGTGTTGGAGAATTTTAACAAAAAGTACAAATATCACAAAAATTGCTCCATGATTTTCTTTTTAGGTTAAAATTGTTCTATATAGAGTAAGAATTTTTCTAAAATGGCCGTAACGAAAAATGAAAAAGAAAACGTAAAAAAAAAAAAAAAAAAAACTGGTTCCCTCCCTCCTCCTGTTCCAATTAGAGTAAATAAATAATTGGAAATTAGTTACATTAACAAGCCCTGATTGGCAAGGGAACATGGTATTTTTAAGTTATTCAATCCCATTTTTAATAGTGTTTTCCTAAAGAAAAAAAAACTCAATTTCCTTCTGTTGGGCTGTTATCTTCTAATTGGAAATTTAAAGGTTTTTTTCCCTCTAAACCATTAGTCAAGAGGGACAGTAAATCAAACAAAATATTAAGGGGAAAAGTGTAAATCACACTAAACATTGGAGGGTTCAGTGCATTTTACCACTGAAACGATTCTTTCTTTTTAAAAAAAAAAAAAAAAGAAAGAAAAAGAAAAAAGAACAATTGCTCGACCCACCCAATTGTCAATACCAACCCAACTCAAGCCCATTAGCCCACTCCTATTACCCATCGGGCCACTCCACTCCAACCCAACTGCCACTCCCCTTCGCAATAGCCCTCTCCTTGAAAAATGCAAGCTTCACTGGCCTCCGATTCTCCCTCTTTGGAAAAAGCATAATTAGCTTTTTTCTCTTAGTTAAATTTCAATTAAACTCAGCCCAATCTTTTACTAAAAGATTGAGCCGAATACAAAGATTCTATTGAATCTATTTTAGATAAATACATACTCATCTAGATAAAGAATATTTTAAATAAAAAATCTAAGAATCAAATCTTTCTATTAATGTCTTGGATCCACAATTAATCCTCTAGATACTTATATTCTTTTATATTCTGCAATTTCCCCCAAGCAAGCCATTGTATACGTATCTCGTATCTCGTCCTTTTCATTCCATATTGATGGAATAAAACCTTAAGTTATTACTTATTATTAGTTAGTTATTGACAAGATTTTACGAAAAAAAGATTTATAGAACAAAACAAATATTTCTTTTTTTTTTTCGATGCGAATTTGACACGACATAGGAGAAAGTACTCTTTATCATGATATTTATAATGAAGAGCGGTTCCATCATATTATATTTATGTATAGTGACGTGTTACCCCTGAATTTCCACAAAACGAAAAAGAATTTTTTTCAATACTCAAACTCCCTATTTTGTTAGTTACTAAAAAAATTCTAGTGATTGGATTTCTATGTTTATTTTATATAGGAAATAAAATATTCAAATTCAAATAAATAAATTTTGGATCGAATGACTATTCATCTATTGTATTTTCATGCAAATAGGAGGCAAGAAAAGTCTATGGAAAGATGGTGGTTTAATTCAATGTTGTTTAAGAAGGAGTTCGAATGCCGGTGTGGGCTAAATAAATCAATAGAAAGTCTTGGTTCTATTGAAAATGATAGTGAAGGTGATGAGCCGGATATAAAAGATAGACTAAAAACATTTAGAGTTGGAGAGTCGTGACGATTCTAGTTACAGTAAGGTTGATCATTTATTTGTCGTTAAAAACATTCAGAATTTCATCTCCGATGACACTTTTTTAGTTAAGGATAGTAATGGGGACAATTTTTCCATATATTTTGATATTAAAAATCAAATTTTTGAGATTGACAACAATCATTCGTTTCGGAGTGAACTAAAAAATTCTTATTGGAATTCTAGTTATCTGAATAATGAATCTATGAGTGAAGATACCTGCTATAATCATTACATGTATGATACTCAATATAGTAGGAAGGGCAAAAAACCTCAACGGCCATTAAACTATTGATGAGATCATGTTTTGGCCATCGAACTATTTTTTGTCAATAATTGGCCACTAAACAATTTAATCCGTAAACCTGTGACCATTTCGTCGTTAATTGCTCTTAAGTTCTGAAATTAGCATTACACGTGGCAATGCCCGAGGGCAATTTTGTCCAGCAACTATGCGACCTTCTTCTCTCATGAATTTCTTTCCTCAAACAATCACCGAATGGAACATTATGTGGAGGAAAAAATATGGACTCAATTGGGAGCCCCAAATCTTCAACCACAAATCAAAGATATTAGGAAGGGCGTATTTTTCCACTGAGGGATCTGAGCATTATTTTTCCATTTCCAAAAGTAATGTTCCGCTAATAACAATATGCATATTAAGAAGAGCCGTACCAGTCCAAGATTATCAGTTAATGCATCCAACACTTGCTCAGCTCCGTCGCATCCGGCTGCTATGTGCAGAGGAGTCAAGCCCCCAGGCCTTTGATATCGGTCTAAATACATAGCAGATTAGACTTAATTTTTTTAGATCTGCATCTGGATGGTATCTTAGGAGGACTTCAACCATGGACCTACAATTTCGTTGAACAGCTCTATGGAGCAACCCATTTTCCAGCAGTGCATCTTCAATTGAAGAGCGCTTTTCTTCACCCATGAGTTTGTTGACTAGAACATTCAAAAGCATCTTGACCACTGCACATCAGTCATGTTCGACTGAGAACTCTATAAGCCATCTGAAACGCTGGAAGGGAAATATATCCAAGTTGGGATCTTGAAGACCCAATCTAAACTTCAACTTACTTCTACGGAGGAGCCAACCAATTTCATGTATGAAGTCTAGAGCTTGTTTGAGGAAAGAAATTCAGGGGAGAAGAAGGTCGCATAGTTGTTGGACAAAATTGTCCCATTTTGTCACGTGTATAGCTAATTTCATAGATTAAAAGCAATTATCGATCAAATGGTGACGAATTTATTGATTAAGTTGTTTAGTGGCCAATTATTAACAAAAAATAGTTCGATGGCCAAAACATGATCCCGCCAATAGTTTAATGGCCGCTAAGGTTTTTTGCCCTAGTAGGAATAATCATAGTAATAGTTGCATTGACAGTTATCTTCAGTCTCAAATTTGGATTGAGACTTCCATTGTAAGTGAAGGGGATAATTACAGCGATAGTTACATCTATAGTTCCATTTGTGGTGAAAGTATAAATAATAATAAAGGAGAGGTTTCGGATATACAAACCCATGCGAAGTAGAGTGATTTTACTATAATAGAAAGTTATAATGATCTCGATGTAACTAAAAAATATAGGCATTTGTGGGTTCAATGTGAAAATTGTTATGAACATTGATATACCGATTCGATCTGAACTCTTGGAATTCTTCTCTCCTCCCAAGTCCCATCCACTCCCTGCTGTTCTTTTAATGGTTTTGAAGGAGACGACAAGTTTGGCCTCGTGATCTCTGTGGTGGTTAGCCGCTTGTTCGTTTTTGGTGTACTTTACTTTATGGATTTTATGTCCTTGGGGCATTGTCATAGTCTTTGCATTAATTTTGTGGTAAAGCACAGATGGATTGTTTTTCTACAACCTAAGGCACGGAAAAATGAAAAAAATCCTTCCATGGAGCCAAATTCCAAGCAGATTAGCAGCCCAGACCCCGCAAAAGTAATTCCCACTCTGCCAAAGACGAGA